ACAGATACAAGAGGATGAGAGAATTTCTTCCAATCCCATAGTGAAGATAGTGTATGGTGACCCGGCTGTATTCCTGTCCCAGCTGCCAAAGAACAGTCACATACATCACTCCAAGATGTGGAGCTGCAGGAAGAGGATTTCAGTGGAGAACCTGGGCCATGTGGTCCAGCAAAAGAATGCCAAGGACACTGTCCCTCTCCTTTGGAAGTTCCTGCAGAAGGTGGGGGTAACACAGGGAGGACAGCCTGGAATGTTCAGAGAGCACAGAGCCAAGGGCTGGGTGGGGTGGGAATGGGCCCTGGAGCTCCAGCTCCTGCCTGAGCAGGGTCACCCAGAGCCAGTTGCCCAGGACTAAACCATGTTTGGATTATCCAGTAACTTTATTCTCAGCACTTGCTATAATCTTGAAGAATGCACATGGAAAATATTGTTGTCTTTTAAACATTTAAAAATTAATTCTGTAAAAGTATCCAGAAGTGGTTTTTCCAAGCACAGCCTTACCCACACAGGCTCCCTTTCCTCTTCCAGGAAACTGAGCTGAGACTGGTGAAATTCCTACCAGAGATCCTGGCTCTGCAGAGGGACTTGGTGAGGCGATTCCAGAACACAGCTGAGATCAAACACTGCTCCATCAGGGAATTCCTCAGAGAACCCCTCTCAGGTGAGAAGACTTTGCCAAAACTGTAACTACTAAAATAAAAGGTGCTGGATTGTCCAGTTGAAAATGAAGGTGAAAACTTCTCTTGAACTTGCAATCTTAAGACTTCATCTTTCTTTTTAATTCCCATCCAAATTAACTGGAGACCTTAACCCTTAAAAAAGTGTGGAGTTCAGTGGTGTGCTTTGAAAATTCTGTATTACAGAATTTCATGGTGTTTCATGGATTTGTCTTTCTGTTCTTCCTCAGATGTGATGAGGGACCTGTTACAGAGGAGAGTAAATGTGTTTCTGTCTGTCTGGAACAAGCTGAGGAGCTCTCTGGACACCAATGGTGAGCATCTCCTGTCCCAGCGCTGCTCCTCTCTCAGTTCAGGTTTCTCCTGTCAGTGATGCTGAGACATATCCTCAAAACCGAGCTTGGCCATTAAATTTTAAGATCATCTAGGCACAAGGGGAAGAATTTGTTTCCCTCCTGTAGTGTTCTCACCTGGACTTGTGTGCTTTAGTGCTGATCCCTAATGCAGAGAGCAGGGCTTTTCTCAGGCCTTATGTTTTTCTGCCCTGGGTCAGGAGAGGCTTGCTCAGCCTGGGCTGCCTCTGGGCCACCTCAAACAGTCTCTTCTTTATTTCAGGGGAAATTAAGCTCCCTAAAGGCTACTGTGATGCTGACCTGACCTTGGACAGCAAGCTCGAGGTCCTTCTGCCCCGGCGGCAGGGGCTGGGCCTGCGCTCCACCGCCCTGGCCAGTTACCTCATCAGTCTGCACAACGACTTCATCCACTCAGTGAACAAACACATCAAGGAAGATGACAGGTGCCTTGCTGTTCCATTTTTTGGGCTCTGTTTTATTTCCTGCTCCCACACACGCAGCTTCCCCTGCTGCAGAAAGGCTTCTCGCTCTGAATGGAGACCGTCTGCTCTCCTGCAGGTACCTGATCAGCCCCTTGGAAGTGGCTGACCTGCACGTGATCAGTTACGAGGTTGAGAGAGACCTGATTCCTCTGATCCTGTCCAACTGCCAGTACAGCATGGAGAAGGGAGGGGAGACGTTGCAGGACTTTGACCTGGAGAAGATCCAGCAGCAAGTCATCAGCAAGTTCCTGCAGGGGAAGCCGCTCATCACGCTGACGGTGGGACGGGGCAGGGGCTGTGCTGCCTGGCTGTGTGGGAGCCCTGCAGCGGGTGCTGCTGCCAGGCACTCACTGTGCAGGGTGAGCGGTGTCTCCAGAGCTTCACATCCCTGGGTTTCTCTCCTCTGACAGGGAATCCCTACCCTCGTGTGCAGACACGATCGGAACTATGAGCAGCTGTTTGATGATGTCAGGAATAAGCTGGAGCAGGTGGGTTTCTGCACTGGGGGAAACAGGGCAAACATGAGACCCCTGACTTCCCAAGAACTCTTGGATTTTCTGTCCCTTGCCTTGTCCATCTGAAGGCTTGTCCACTGATCTCTCAGCATGCCTTGAATATGTACGGTCTGGACTTCTGTTGTCAGTCTGGGTTTACAAAGGAAAGGGAGACAGTTCAGCATTTCAGTTTCCTACACCTGGGGCTCTGTCCTCTTCCATGAGTTTAGCACCTTGAGCAGCAGTAAGGAATGGCTCTAAACTAATATTAGCTCTGACTTCATGGTTTTCAGAGTGCTCTGCCCAGTTCTGCGATGAACGTGATCAGTGGGGAGCTGCAGTCCTACAGTGATGTCTGTGATGCTCTGTCCCTCACTGAAATCACCCTGGGCTTCCTGGCCATGGCTGGGGAGAACGCTGAGATGCTGCTGACTGACTACATTGAACAAGTTCTGCAGATGGGGGACCAGACAAACCCTCACATTCTGCAGGTGAGTCCTGAGGGCAAAGCTCTGATTCTTACAGGGTAGAATTGCACTGGTTTAGGCTAAAGCCAGCCAGCAAAAGTTTAGCTTGAAAGGGTGATCGAATTCCCTCCCCACTGTATTCAACAGTGAGGGGGAAGCAATTTTCACTCCCTCTGCAACCAGTGTTTGCAAGGTGGGAGGACCTGACAGCTTATGATGCTCAGCAGGCTCGTGCAACCCTCCAGAAAGGTCAGGTGCAGGAGGTGCAGAAGGTCGGGCTCCTCTGCAGATCCAGGCTCTGACAGCAAGGAAGGAGAAGTATCAATGGAGTGTCAGCAGAATTAGTGCAATGCTAAAACTGAGCAAAGGGAGAACTTCAGATCTGAGTCATGTCCTGGTGACACTGGCCTGGTGCTGAGCAGGACTGAAACCATTCCTTCACCTCTCTAAACAGATGATGTGAAAGGTTTTACCTCCTGATGATGTGTGAAGAGAGGCCCTTCACTGGTAGGGCAAAGGCACTGGGTTGTGACCAGGACATGTGACAAAGCCCTAGCACTTTCCCACTCCCTTTCATGGTACCACACAGATGGATTATTGAAGGCAAAATGGGGAGGGGGGAGAGAGGGGCTTGTTGCAGGCAGGCTATAAAAGGGCTGGATGAACTCCCTGCTGAGCTGTGACCTGCCTGTGCAGAGCAGGCTGGGGACAGGCTCCCAAAGACACCTCTTACATCCATGTACGTGTTTTTGTTGCAGGCCCTCAGACGATGCCACCTCAAGCACAGCATAGCCCTGTGGCAGCTCCTCTCCACCCGCAAATCAGAGCAGCTGCTGCGCCTCAGAAGGGTATGGCACCCCCAGAACTGTCTGACCAGCTCTTCCTCTGCTCTCAAGGAACCTGCTCAAATGTCTGGTTGTCTTTTTTCCCCGCTGTGTTTTTAGGATCCTTTTGCAGATGTCAGTCGAGACTACAAAGCTGAGCTCAGTCCAGAGATTGCCAAGCTCCTCCACACCTTCCTCGTCCACTCGAGGCTGGAAACCTTCCTGCAGGAGCTCCATGAAATGATTGTCCTGAAGCTGAGACGTGCCCAAGCTGTGGATGAATTCAGACCCAGGTGGAGGTAGGAGTTACACAGCCCCAACCCAGCACAGTTATTAACTGAAGCTTCTCTGCCTCTGAGAATGCACACAATGGGAACAGTTCCCTTGGCAAATGCCTGTCCTGTGGGGACACAGACAACCAGCAACACCAGAAATATCCAGCTTAGTCCTGAGATACACTGCCCATTCTGGGCATATGTGACTTCCTTTCCTGTTAAACTGTGCATATTTAGTATTTTGGGTGGTGGGAATACACCAATATTACATGGCACTTGTGGTTTGCTCTAGCTATTAATAGAACTGTTCTGCTCTGTTTTCCAGCTTGAAGGAATCGCTCCTGCCTTACCTTGATGCCAAAGACTCTGAATTAGCTACAGAGCTGCAAGAGACATTCCCAGATGAGATTCTTCTCTCTCATGCAATTGCTACCTGGAAAGCAGCTGCTCGTTTCAAACGAGAGCGCAGGGAAAGTTAGGAACAGGTCCCTGCCAGGAGTGTCGGTGCCACAGCACCCAGGGGTGGTCATTTGGGAATGGTGGGGGGTTTGTTTTGGGTTTGTTGATTGCTTTTTGGGTTTGGGGTTGTTGTTTTTTACTAAAAACACGTGCTGTGGAGCTGCTTCCGTGCAGCAGGAGGATGGAACAGGACCAGCAGCTGTGTGTGTCGTGGACAACCCTAAAGTCACCTCAGGAAGATGAAGTATTTTTTTACAAACCACTGTGCCCTGGTGCTGGGAAAAGGGATTTATTTTTTCCATCTGCATTTCTTCTGACACTGAGGTGTCAGCAGGATGTAGAATTGGCTCCTTCTTCCAGTTCCCCCTTCCTGCCCCGGTATCTGCTGCCAGCACCTTCTCACTGCGCCAGGGTGGGGCTGGACCATGAAGGAGAAATGGAACCAGGAAGGAAGGGGCTCCTTCACTGCCTTAACCCGGTGGCCCTGTGCCTGCTGCTGCCTTGTCCCGGGGCTGGGCCCCCCTGCTCTTCCCCAATAAAGCTTGTTTAGTTCCTTCTTTGGCTCCTTCCCTCTCTCATTTGGCCCTGCGGTCCGCAGGGATGGGGAGTGCCACAAGTGGACCATCAGCTCCCTGGGGCTCATCCCCAGCATGGGCAGAGCCCCCTCAGCTGAGACCCCCCAGCAGAGCTGCCCCAGCCCTGGGAACAGCACAGGAGGGACCTGGAGCTGCTGCAGAGTCCAGAGGAGGCACCAAGAGGATCAGAGGATGGAGCAGCTCTGCTGGGAGGAAAGGGGAGAGAGTTGGGATTGTGCAGCCTGGAGAAGAGAAGCTTTGGGGTGACCTGACTGTGGCCTTCCAGGACCTGAAGGGAGACTACAAGAAAAGATGGAGAGACTATTGACAAGGGCCTGGAGTGCCAGGACAAGGGGGAAGGGCTTCAAAGCGGCAGAGGGCAGGGTTAGACGGGCTATATTGGGAAGGAATCCTTGGCTGTGAGGGGGGCAGGCCCTGGCACAGGTTGCTGTGTCTGCCCCATCCCTGGGAGTGTCCAAGGTCAGGCTGGACGGTGCCTGGAGCAGCCTGGGCTGGTGGGAGGTGTCCCTGCCCCTGGCAGGGGGGCGCTGGATGAGCTGTGAGTTCCCTCCCGCCCCGGAGCACTCCATGGCTCCAGCATCCCGGGCCGAGGCTGCGCCGCGCCCGGAACGGCCGCGCTCGGCCCCGCGTTCCGGGGGACACGGCGGGGAGGGACGGGGGCCCCGCGCCCGCCATGGCCGGCCCGGCAGAGCGGAGCCGCTGGGAACGGTACCGGGGAACGGGCACGGCGGGAACGGGGAACGGGGCACGGCGGGGCCGGGGCTGCACCGGGGACGGGGCACGGCGGGAACGGGCTGGAACGGGGAACGGTACCGGGGACAGGGGGCACGGCGGGAACGGGCTGCACCGGGGAACGGGGGCACGGCGGGAACGGGCTGCACCGGGGAACGGGGCACGGCCACCCCCGGGGAGAGCCCCGAGGCACCGCTGGCGGGGATGGGGAGTCCCGGGGAAGGGACCCCCTGTCAGTGCCACCCCCGGGGGTCCCTGCAGGGAGCAGGCCCGGCTGAAGGCCGGCGTGGTGGAGCAGGACACCGAGCCGTGGCAGAAAGACCCGAATTTCGCCGGGCTGGAGAGAGTGGGAGGTGTGGACTTATCCTACATCAAAGGAGACGACACCAGAGCCTGCGCCTCCCTGGTCGTGCTCAGCTACCCGGCCCTCGAGGTAACCCGGGTGAACCCCTCACTCCGGGGCTCTGTCCAGGTGTGCCAGGACACGAGGGGTTTTTAGGAGTTTATAGCAAGCTTTCACAAAGGCCATTCCCCGCAGGGCATCGCTCAGGTACCCCCTGTGACAGCCTTGAGCTGAAGGAGGGCAGGGATATTGGGAAGGAATTCCTCCCTGGGAGGGTGGGCAGGCCCTGGCACAGGTTGCCCAGAGAAGCTGTGGCTGCCCCTGGATCCCTGGGAGTGTCCAAGGCCAGGTTGGAGCACCCTGGGCTGGTGGAAGGTGTCCCTGCCCATGGCTGGGGGTGGAACTAGGAAGATGTGCTGCAAACAGCTCCTGATCACAAGAGGTTTGTAGGATGGCTCATAACTCACAAGGTGTCCAGAGACAGGTTTAGTGTCTGTTCAGGAGGGCTGGTACCTCCCAAAAGCTGTGATGAGATGCAGCCCCTGGTCAAATACAACACACCAACTGCTTTGGGGGTGTGTTGGACATAATCAGTGTCAGCCCCTTCCCAAATGAGCCAAAAGGGGCTGATGTCCCTCAGTGCCTGTGCACAGAGGGAAGTGTTTGTAGCACTCCAGTGCAGAGCCTCATGTGTGAGTTCCTTCTGGGAATCAGCTGATAACATGGGATGGGACTTAGAAAAGCCTTTCCAAATTCACCATGGTTCCTACATCACACAGTCATTTTATTTGAACTAATAAAGTTTTTTGGTCTCTTTCCCAGCTTATGTAAAAATTATCTTTAACTATAAAAGCCCTAACAAGCAGAGAAATAAAGTTTGATGTGGCTGCTGGGATTTTTATGAACTGAATTTCAGGTCCTGCTGCGATTCCTGCCTCGCCCTGCAGATCACTTTTTTGTCCTGCCTTACAGGGTTTGTTTTGTCCTGTCCCTGCCCAGGCCCCTTTGGCGCTGCCCTGGCAGGGTGAGGTTCCCTCTGTCTCTCAGGAGCTGCCCTGGTTGTGTTCAAGGGCTCTCTCAGTCAGAGCATGGTGTGTCCAGCCCTCTCCTGCCATCAGTCCCTTCCCAGTGACACAGTGGTACAGCCCTGAGCCCTTGGCTCTGCGGAGAGATCCAGCAGCAGGGATCTGAGGAGGGGACGTGAGCCAGAGGAGGAGCCTCTGGCACTCATCAGGCGTCCCCAGGGTCGCTGTCTGCTCCTGCTCCAGGTGCTGTACGAGGATTGCCGGATGGTGACCCTCACTGCCCCCTACGTGGCCGGATTCCTGGCCTTCCGAGAGGTCCCTTTCCTGGTGGAAGCTGTTCAGAGACTTCAGCAGGAGCAGCCCAGGCTCAGACCTCAGGTGTGCCGTGTTTCCTTGTCCCAGGCTGAGGTGTCCTGTGGGCACAGAGTCCTGCTGGAAGGTGTTCTGCCTCTGGAGACTGCACTGGATGCTCTCCACGGGTGTGTTGGAGCGTCCACTGTCCCTTCCTTAGGGAGCCAGTCACTGATTGCTCCTTGGAGTGCTCAGGAAGTAACATTTCTGCTTTGGCTTTTTCAGGTGCTTCTGGTAGATGGGAATGGGGTGCTCCATCACAGAGGTAGGCTGTTCCTGGATGGTCCTGCTGTCCTGGTCCCTGTGCTGCTGGTTGGGATTCCAGTTCCCCGGTGTCCTGTAGGTACAGTGGCTCGTTGTTGGCAGGATTTGGTGTGGCCTGTCACCTCGGAGTCCTGACGGATCTGCCGTGCGTTGGAGTGGCCAAGAACCTCCTGCAGGTGGATGGCTTGGTCAGGGACGAGCTGCACAGGGAGCAGGTTAGACCAGGCTGGGAATGTGTTTCTGCTTTTTAATATCCCAAGGGAATTGTCACAGCCACATACAAGTACCTCCTAACAACCTGACCTGGTGTGTGTTTACCCCTAGATCCGTTCCCTGCAGAGGTCAGGAGATACATTCCCACTGACAGGCACTTCAGGGAGAGTCCTGGGCATGGTAAGCATGTCACTGGGCCATGAGGATGTTGTTTCCACAGTGGGGCTATCTCAGTGATCCCAGTTCAGGAAGGCAGGTGTGAACAGGGACCAGTAAGAGCCCCTTCCTGAGAGCTCAGATGTTCGTAGAGAGTTGCCAGTTCCGGTGTTGGGTACAATCACGGCTGTGGCTGTGGCTGTGGCACCTGAGGTGCTCTGGCACCCCGGTGTGTGAACCCCAGTCAGGGAGAGGTGCCAATTCCCTGGCAGTTCACCAGGATGCAATATGGGAGCATCTGACTCAGAGGAGAACAGGAACAGGCAGATGTAAGAGACTTCCTGTGTCTGGTGTCAGTCTGCACTGGCACGTGTCCCTGCATCCCAGAGGAGCGTGAGGCGTTTGGGGAAGGGCCACGGGGGTCCAGAGGGACAAACAGTCCCTGTGAGGAGACACAGGGATGGAGAAGAGCTTCAGGAAGGCTGGGAATTGCAGACACAGAGGCACCACCCCACCCTCTGAGAGCAACTGCCTGGCTCGTGGTTCACCTGCCCCTCTGTGTGTTTTAAAGGAGCCTGTTGGGTGCCTGATGTCTCGTTTCTGAATGCCCAGGCGCTGCGGAGCTACCACAACAGCTCCAAGCCCCTGTACGTGTCGGTGGGGCACAGGGTGAGCCTGGACACGGCCGTGCGCCTCGTGGGGTCCTGCTGCAGGTACCGCGTCCCGGAGCCCATCCGGCAGGTACGGCAGCAGGGGCTGGGGGGGAGGCAGGGCAGTGTGGGGGGGTGTTTGCCAAGCCTGGGGTGTGCTGCAGAGCCTCCTCTGCTGCTGGCACCCCTCTGCTGGGCTGTTCTCCCAGCCCGTGCTGGTGTTCCCGTGGCCGTGCTTGTTCTCCTGACACAGTGCCCGGCAGCCCTCCCAGCCTGACTGATTTCCTGGTTCCTCTCTGCAGCCAGCTCCTGTGATGCTGATGTTAATCCACAGGAGCTGGGAATGCAGCTTTCCTGGGCACTTAGAGCCCAGCACAGCCCGCAGTGCTGCTCCTCTGGGCTTTTCCCCGCTGCCGCACTCTGGACGGAGCCACGGGCCCAGCCAGCAGGGGACAGCACTGGATCACTGTCACTGAGCCACAGCTGCCACCAGGGCTCAGCCTTGGCTGATTAAATTGCAGCAGAGCTTCAGGAAAGGCTCTGGAGAAGCATAAAGACTCCGGGACTTCTGGCCTGGCAAGTGCTTCCCTTCTCTTGGGGTCACTGCTGTCGGTGGCTCCGTAGCCCAAATCCACAAGTGCCCAGGGAGCAGGGCCTGCTCAGGTGTCCCTGTTCCTAATGCTGCCCTGGGACAGCCCGTTGGCATCGCTGGTGTGCTGTGCTGGTTGGGTGTTGGGGGTGTGGCCCCCCAGAGCAGCGCTGGGGTGACCCTGCTGAGGGCCCTGCAGTGTTCTCTGAACACCGGGTCTCTACTTATAAACCAGAGGAAAGTCTTACACCTTGGAGCAAAGCAAGCCTTGAGGTGTGCGTAGCAGAGCCAGGGTTTCTAATCTCATCCCCAGTACCTGCCAGACAGGAGGAGGCTGATGGAGCTCCTTATGTAATCTCCAGCCAGGGACAGATGCCTCTGCAGAGCTCCGAGCCAGCTCTGCAGCTCGGCATCTTCAAAGGGAAGGGAAAAGCACTCCCTTCGGAAACAAAAAGGTGTCTTGGAGCTTTTCATCACCCTCATTTCGCTTCCAGCTCTCTCTAGGATTTGCTAATGTTGGGAGAATCTTCCAGTTCTCTGTGACCTTTTTCTTAGAGTGATGGAGTGAGTTATTGTCACTTTTCCTACAGAGAGATGAAAAATCCAAAGGGGGTGTGTTTACTGTAGAGGGATGGCAGGAGATAAGGACACTTAAACCTTTCCATGGGACTCTGCAGTTCCTCTGTGTGGTGACTGTCACAGGTCTTGGCACAGGGCAGACCTGGAGGCCTCTTGAGCACCTGAAGCTGGAGTTAGGAAGTAGAAGGCTGCAGAGAATCCTGCCGTGGTTGGCTGACTTTGCCAGAACAAGCTTGCAGACCTGATGGGTGATGTGCTCCCGGCTTTCCCAGTGTTGTGAAAGTTCATCAGCTCCTGGTTTGTAAGTTCTGGCAGCCCTGGGAGTGAAATGCTCTCTGAGAGCTCAGCTGCCCACACCTCCTGAGGCTGTGGTTGTGGTTTGTGTGAGGGCAGTGCTGTGCAGCTGCTGTGGGAACTCAGATCTGCTTTCCCAGAGGCAGGCTGGCCAGTCCACGTAGGGGGTGTGGTGCTTCCCGGGAATGCAGCACTATCCAGGCAGGAATCAGAACGGCTCTATTTGCATTCAGCCCACAGTGTGGTTGTGCTGCCAAGGAACTGGCTGTGCTGCAGGTGAGCAAAGTGATCTCTCAGAGGAACCAGAGGGAATTCATTGTCACCTACAATCAGTATTTACATCCCACTTAGTCCTTACTCCACGTGCCAGCGCCAGGCCCATCTGGGAGAAATGTGCTTGCATGGGGTGATCTCTGCCCAGCCAGCTTGTGAGGTTCTGCACAGAGCTGCACAGGTCATTCAGAGCTCCCAGGCAGGAACTGGGGTAGGCAGGAGCTGTCATCCCACAAAAGTAAGCACAACACTCAGTCTGAGTGGCCCTGAACGATACCAGGCCCTGCTGAGAGAACTGCCCTTGCCTCCTCCTGGCTGAGGCCAGAACCCTTCTCCAGTGCTCCCCCTCACTCTGGGACTGGAGTGCTGGGATCCCTGTGCACAGCAGGGAGACAGAAGCTGTTCCCACTCTCCAGCTGACAGGGACTGCACTGGGACCCTGCTCTGCTCTCACTGGTTCAGGTTCCTGGTTGGCTGCTCACCAAGCAGCCGCTCACTTGGTGATCCTTCAGCTCCTGCTGGCCTCGTGCCCAGCTGGTTCCTGCTGGCTCAGGAAGGGGCTGATGGGACAGCCTGGTGTTGCTTCAGCCCACCAGGAAAGACAGAAGGAGGCCTGCAGGTCACTTCCTGTGAAATATCAAACCTGTGCCCTCGGGAGAAGTGAGAGACGAGCCATCAGCCCCCTGCTCTGAGACGGGATGTCAGTCTCTGGCATCCTGAGGCTCCAACTCCCTTCGGGTGTACCCCCTGCGATCTTGCTGTGTGCACAGGGATCACCATTGCCCCTCAGAAAACAGGCAAAGCAGCAATTCCAAAGCCAGCATTGTCCCCTCTGAAAATAGCCCAAATCTGTGAGGATTATTACAGGACAGTGATCCATCTTATTGATTAGCCCTGTGGTTAATCACCGGGATGAGCTGACTCCGGCACTGCACTAGGAGTGAGCACTGGCTGGGAACTGCCACCTAATCAAGCATCAGCTGATGTTCTCAGCAGAACGTGGCTGGGGTTTTTCTTCCCTAGAAAAATAGTTGGTAGCTGTGCCTCCTGCTCCTTGGTGTCCCCGTAGGGAGTATCGAGCAGCCTCCTTCCCTGGTTATAAAATACATCACGTAATCGCTTATCCTGAAGAGTGATCAAAGTTATTTGTCAGTTCAGTTATGAAACTGTCCAATTATAGAGAGAAGGGAAAAAAAAAAAATCTCCCAAACAAACCACCCTTTACGTAACTCATTCTCAGCTGGCAGGATGGCTCTGCAGTTGTGGAGCAGGTTCCAGCAGCAGCAGGAACAGCCTCCACTGAGGGCTCTGGGGGTGAGGGGTGTGGGGGCTGCTTGGAGTGCAAGAGAGGCTCCTCAGGGGCAGCACAGTGGTGAGAGCAGCAAATGCTTCAAGGACAGCCACCAGGGATGTGTTAACCCACTTTCTGAGCATTATCTCTATGCTGTGAAGCTTTTCCAGCTGGGAAGGTCACATCCTGCTTTTTAAGTGGGGAGAGGCACTCTGCCTTTAAGGTGGGGCACGGCAGCTGCTCTGGAATGTCACACTGTGTTTGGGAAAGAAGTTTCTGAAAAAGAAAAAAATCCTTGAGGGACTGTAAAAATCACCTGCCGGTTCTCAAAGTTGTCCAAGAGCCTGGGGCGTGCTTGTGATGGCATTGGAGAGTCCTGCTGGTGTGGTGCAGCGCCAGGGGGGCTGAGCAGCACCACCTCAGGGGCACAAGAGCACCCAGTGAGTGCCAAGCAGCACTTTCTTACAGCTCTGGGGATGTGTCGGTGCTCTCCTTGCCCCAGGCTGTCCTGCCTCGCTGGAACACAACCATGAGTGTTCCTGGGCACGCTGGGGTGACAGGGGGAGGCACCAGCCAGGCTGGTCAGGCCATTCCCACCCGTTCTCCTCCTCAATTCCAGGCTGACATCAGGTCGAGGGAGTACATTCGGAAGCAGCTGTGCCCACCCCTGGAGGTCAGACCTGCCGGCCCAGAGAGGTGGGTGTGTGGGCAGCCCAGCAGGTGCCTCTCCAAAGGGGATCTGCTCCTGGAATGAGCTGCAGTAATGGCATTAAAGGGCCAGGGGGGGTAACAAGGTGAGCTCAAGTGCCATGTGCTGCCTCCAGAAAGGGTGATTTCTGGTCAGTGTGGCCGTGCTGCTTCACACGTTCCTCCCTCCCAGCGCCGTGTCCTGAGCTGGGCAAGGTCAGTGGGGATTTGGTCTTTTTTTGGCACCGGTGATAAGCAGAGCACTAACGCCTACAGGTGTGACATGAGGCTGGACAGAAATACCTGCAGGGAACTGGTTTTGGCCCCTGGATCTTGGGGGAGGGTCACACTCCTTCACTCTTGCATAACATGGGCCAGTGGGTGCTCAGTTTATTGGTGTAAACCTGTGGCAAACCCTTGGAGGTGCAGGAGCTCCTGGAGTTGTGGCTATCCTGCCTCTTCAGCAAAGTTCACAGGAGTGTGGTTGGGTTCCCTCAGACCCTCAGCAGGACCAGGCTGGACAGGTTGTTGATGGCCCTGCCCCAGGAGCTGCTCAGGGCTGAGCCGGGTGTGTCAGGGCTCCAAGAGTCCTCAGGGACCAGAAGGAGTGAAGGGGGCTGATGGTGGCAGTGGGGGATGAACACTGGGTGAGACAGCTCTTACAGATTCCTTGGGACACCTGGGTGGTACAACTCACTGTGCTCTGCTCAGCTCCTTGATTCTTGAAGTCATGCATGCAGGAGCAGGAGGAGGGGCATGGCCTGGCTAGTGAGTGCCAGGCTGGATGTCCCCTGGTTGTGCCAGAGTTCGTCTCTAACCCCTGCCTGCCAGGGCAGTGCTGGAGCTCAGCTGGGCTGGAGGTTGTGCACCAGAACCCCCAGACTCGTTCCATTTGTGACCCTGTGTCTCACACCTTGTGTCTGAGCCCTTCTTCACCAAGTGACTGTTGTTTGGTCTTGTTGCTTTCTACTTTTATTTGTCTGTGACCCTTCCTTGTTCTTTTTCCCAGCAGCAAGAAGGAGGCTGAACTGGAGGATTATTCTGATGCCTGAAGAACCTGCAGGGCTCCTCTTCACTTGATCCTCTCCCTCGAGGCTGAGTTCTGTTGAGTGCAGGAGCCTGGTGCCATCCTGGGGGGCAGAGCCGTGCCAGGCCGTGTCCCTCGGGACAGTGACAACCTCTGTGCATGTCCTGGCAGACTGGCAGAGCAGCTGCTGCTCAAGGATAATCCTTACAGTGGTTTCTCAGGGTTTGTTTTTCCTCAGGGGAAAGGAGAATTTCCCATCAGGGATGGGGAGGGAGGGAGGTCCTTCCTGATACATCAGTCAGGGTGGCCAGATCCCAGGCTGGAGTTTTTGCCATGAGTGGACTGGGAACTCTGGCGCCAGGCTGGAAGAAGCTCCCTGTGCCCGGACCTTGGCCCAGCACCAGCTCAGCTGTTTGTGGAGCTTCTGTGCCCAAATCAGTCCGTGACCCTCATCCAGTCTGCAGGGCCAAAGCTTCTCCTCCCAAGCTTGGAGTCCTGGCTGGTTTGACAGGTGGTTCCTGACTGCTCCCAAAGAGCAGCAGGAGCAGAACATGAGCTGTGGGAGTTCTTGACATGGCTGTGTAAGATTCCAGGCTAAGGAGGAAGAAGGATGCTTTCCTGGGACTGGGGAAGGGTGCTCAGGTCGGGGCTGTCTTAACCTCAATAAATTTCTTGTACAACTCTTGTTCTTTTCTCGATCTTGGAGCTGCTTTGGGTGGGGAGGACAAAATCCAGCCCATTCTGCCTATCTGCTGGGTTGGGGTCTGGGCTGGTTCCTTCTGCACTTCCTCCTGAAACCTGGGCTGGAAAAGGGATGAAGCAAAAAACCCAGCACCCCCAGGGCCCATCTGGGGAACTTTGGGGCCCATCTGAGCAAGTGGTGAAGGGAGGGACAGGCACTGGCAGGGCACTTCCCAAAAAACCTTCAGTGATGTGTTTTGAAAGCCGAAGCTGCAGCTGCTGCAGCTCCCCGGCCTGCGAAGGAGCCGCCATCTCCTGGGAAGCCTCTGAGCTGTTTCACAGCAGAGTTTGTACGTGGGTGGAGAGACTGGGAAGGGAAAACCGTCTCAGTGGAAGCTGCTCCTTTGATCCCAGGGATGTGTGGGGGCTGCTGGCCCAGTGTCCCTGCAGAACACTCAGTCTGGTTTAGCAAGGCAGGTCTGGCTGTGCACAGCTCTGGGCACCCCACACCCCAACCACCTGTGCGGGGCTGTCGACCTGGGAGTTCTTGCTGGGAGGAACTGGTCTGGCACCTGTCCTGGCTCTTCCCAGGGGCCACAGCACTGCTGTCAGTTCATCCATTCCTTGTTCCAACCACACAAAAACAGCAACTTCACCAGCCATGGGGACAGCCTCCTAGAGCCTGTCACAGATTTGGGCACAGGTGACACACTGTGGGCAGGGACAGCTGTTGCCCACCTCTCTTGGGCAGAACACCAGGGAACTCCATCTGGAATTGCTCAGTCCTGTGCTGGGGGCCACAGGACCAGCTCAGGCTTGTCCCAGTTCTGGCTCACACCACTCCCACTGCAGATCGATCCCAGCTGTGCTCAAGCCCCTTGTTTGGCTCAGCTGTGCCAGGGGTCTGTGGGGCAGCTCTGGGAGGGCTCTGCTGGAATAGAGGTTCCCTCAGCACATGGGACTGTGGCTCCCCCTGACCTGGTTGTGCAGCTGAGTGGGTGAGTGCCTGTGTTTTTATTATCTCTTGGTCTACTGGTGATTTTTTTGTGTTTCTGGCTGGTATTTGGCTATGAGAAATTTGGGGAGTGCTGGTTGGGGGAGGTTCTGCAGCCAAAGCTGACTTGGGTGGAAGCTCAAGGAGTTGGTCTGAGTTTGTCAATAGGAATATGAGGCTGTGGCTGTTTGGGGTCTGTTGCTGGGAGTTCCCTCTTCCCACTGGGACCTGGGTGTTTTTATACATGTGGGGTCCATGTGCTCACCCTGTGAGGGATCCAGGGCTGGGGATGCAGCTGTCCTTGGCTGGCCCAGCAGGGAGTGAGGAAAGAAGCTCAAGTTAAAAAAAAACAGGCATCAAAAACCCAATCACATGGCTCTGCATCACTGCCCTGACTTCCCTCTGCGAGAGTCTCTGAACTCTTCTCATTCCAAGTACAGGTAAACTCGGATGACTCTGGATTAAAGTCACCTGGCTGGGGTTTAGGTGGAGGATGGTGCTGCTGGGTCAGTGGCACCTGGCAGCCCCTGTGCAGTCCTGTTGGAGCTGGGGCTCTGGTCCCCTGGGTTTGGGGCGTGCCTGTGCCATGGGATGCTCTCCCAGCTGCCCAAACCCAGGGTGGTGAAAGGAAAGGACTAATCTCTGTGTTTGGTGTCTGCTTGTGGCTCTTTGGACACAATAAGGGATTAACTTGGTCTTTATCTAATTGGCTTATAACCCTGGGAAGGGAAAATCGCTTTGTAATGCATGAAACCTCTTAATGGAAACTCAGAGAGTGGAGCTTGAGTGTCCTTCGAAGTAAACTCGTACAGGTCTCGTCCTTTTATTTAACTCTGATTGCTGGAAATTGGCTGTTCTGGGTGTTAAATTGTTGGGAACCAGAGGAAAGCACTTATTACTGACTGTAAAGCCTTTTGTTGTCACCAGGGGGGCTTTCCTCTTCACTATTTCTACCTGTGACTGTTCAGGAGTCTCTGCAGGAGTCCTAGGGCTTGGTCACCCCTCGGTGCTGCTGGGGAACAGGGTGTGGGTCTGGAGCAGTGCTGGGATCAGGGTGTGGCTGTGATGGCTCTGGCCCAGTCAGATGATGAATGCTTTGTTCTGCTCCAGATCTGCTTCCTCTGGTTTTCGTGGACAGCCAGAGGTAGGAAGGAGGATCCCCACATGTGCACTGTGTGTCTGGGGTCCTGGAGAAGGGAGAGAAGATACTTTAGGATGAAAATCTGTTCGCTGAGTTTCGAGGGAGTCTGGATGAGCAGCTCTGTCACAGGTGTCTGAGGCTGGGTGGGATGAATTCCCACCTCCGTGTCTGGAGCCTGTGGCAGTGTAGGTGCTGCCTGTGCAGTTTGTACTGCACGGAGGGAGCTCTGGTGACTCAGGGTTTGTATTTCAGGACACTCATTCTGAGGATGGGGGAAGTGACTTACTGGGATTCCCCCCCTCCCCGCCTCCAATTCTCATTCCTCTCCCCCTTTGGATTGGTTGGGTGGATTTAGGAGGGGCTGTTTCTCTCATGATTGCCCAGACCCTGGTCCAGCTGCAGACTGGCAGCACCGAGCCATGGTCTGGCAGCTGAACCCCCTCCCTTCCCACGTTCCCAGCGCGTTCGGTGTTTGGGCTGGCTGGGGCAGCTGTGTCCCCTTGGCTCTCAGAGCAGGGAGGCTGTTCCTCAGCTCTGAGCCTCCATCTCTGGCTGCAAACAGGCATTTTTCATGCTGGTTCCCTCTGTGGCAGCTGAGCCTTGTCGGGGGTCCAGAGGCCTCTTGGATGCCATGGCCGGTGCCCATGGCCAGTGCCCGGGCGTGCAGAGGGAGCTGGGGCAGCATCATGGCTCCCTTGCAGGTTTTTTTTGTCCCTTTGTCCCTTTTTTTGGATTTTCCCGTCCTTTTGTCCTATAAATAGTTCTCCACCCGACTGCCCTTCCCGTTGTTGGTCTGGGTTGGTCCTCTGGTCCTGCTGCAGACACCTCTCACCAGAGCCCTCCCAGCCCCATGGCTTTATTTTAAGGCCCCATTAATTAAAAGCGAACGAGTGGAATTTCTCTTGACAACCAAATTAATAGCAAATGAGATAATTATGAGCTGTGTCATTAGGGTGATGGAGCAGCTTGTACAGGGCTCAGCCTGAGCAAGGTGGCAGATCTGTGGGGCACACAGATCTCTCCTACTGGGGGGACGGGGCTGGGGCCGTGTCCCCTGCTGAGGGTGGAGGGAGGGCAGGGGGCAGGGGTGTGGGAGCTCTCGGACAGGTCAGCAAGGACCCACTTCTTTGTGGCAGCTTTTCCTCTGTACCCACGGTCACCGTGTCCCCCTGCACGGAGGGGACCTGGCTGGCAGCGCTGCGGCCTCGGGGGGCACAGGTGAAGCCTTGCCCAGGCAGAGAGACCCAGGGAGGGTTCTGGGAGCACCAGGAGCCCCGTGCCCAGGGGGGTCCTGCTGAACATGCCCACCTGCCGTGGGTGGCTCTGCCAGGGGCACCTCCTGGCCCCTGTTTTGTCTGGAGCCGTTTCTCTGTGTGGGAACAGCTCCGGATCGTGCACTGAGGATGAGGAGGAGCTGATCAGCCAGGCCAGGGAGGGAGGGAGAGCTGCCTGCGGGGAGGAAAGGGAGGAGAGGTGGTGCCAGGGGCTGGCTCTGCTCCTGTGCCATCGCTTGACAGAGAAATGTCCGGCATCTTCCCGAGGAGCATCATCGCCTGTTAATAAAACACCCAGTAGATTCTTAGGAGAGTGCTCAGGGTGTGTGATAAATCTGGAGGCTTTGTAACTTGCTGGAATGATGATGGGCAGCACTGTGATTAAAGGCTCTGATTAACACACAAACCTTGTTTGTAATGAGTGGGATTGGGAGGGTTTGGGAAATCCAGCTGGCATATAATGAGGTTACTCCAACAAATTGCTCAGATATCAATTACTCTGCTAGGTAAATGTCACCTACTTCCTCTTTGTTTGCAGTAAACCGGGATCCAATTAATTTGATGTGGTTATTGCTCCTTCCTGACACCGCTGTGGCCCCAGGGTGGGTGCTGGGGCAAGGCAGGAGCCAGGCCCCCTGATCACCGAGACCACCGATGCTGGGCCAGGGCTGGGGCTCCCCTGCCGGCTCCGGATGCTTCCACAGAGCTCATGAATATTAATGGCATTAACATATGGGATCCAGGGAGGGAGCAGAAAGCGTTGCCAATTGTGGAGCAGCCCATCCCAAATCCAACCCTGGCGTATGAAGCCCCTGCCTGTCCCTGGGCATGGGGAGGATTTGGAGGGGCTGGAAGGGAAAGGCTGGTGTGAGCTGGGGGTGGGTGCTGTCACTCTGGCTCTGTGGGCGTTCAAGGCCCTGCTCACCTTTCCAGAGGGAATAAATCAGCACAGCTTTGTCCCCGTGGGGTTTTCCCCGCCCCATCAGGTGCTGGGTGAGAGGACTGAGGGGTGTGTGTGGGTGTTTGGGGGGCTGCTGCCATCGCCCAGCTTCCACTGACTCAGCAGCATGATGGAGCTCTGCCTCTCTCCTCATCCCTTCTGGCAGGAGGGGATTTATGGGGTGATCCAGACCTTTCCATCCCTCCTTCCCTCCCTGCCAGCCAGGCCGGGGGCGGCCGCTGGTGTGGGGCTGCCCTGTGGCATCTCCCACTTGCACCAGAGCCTCGGCAGGATGAGGAGTGTTCAAATCTGCTGCAGGCTATTGCTGACCTGATTTCCAGCAGCGCTGTGGAGCTTGGCATCTGTTGCTGACAGGGAGGGAAGTGGGGGCGTGGGGACCCCCAGATGTGCTGCCCCGGCACCCCCGGCCCTGGAAGGTGCGGGGAACCTTGGGGGGCCAGGGCAGCACAGGGTGGGCTTTGACCCTGCTTTTACCCCCCACCCTTGTGTACCCCCTCCTGTGCCCACCCTGCTCCTCAACTGCTAATTAATCAGCATAATTAGCAAGATGCTGCATCTATTTTTAATCAGCTTTGGAAGACAGAGTCTTCCTTCTGCTCCACAGGCTCTCCCAGGGCGGAACGGGGCTTAGTCG